GCCTAAACCTTACCTTTACCCTTTTCCTAACCCTAAACGTCACATATCTAACCCTACCCAAAACTCAATTCATACCTTAGTCCTAACTCTGACCCCTTACCCAAAAACAGGGTTTCCCCTTGTGGGGACCAGGCTCCGGTCCCCACAAGAAGCAATTGGTCCCCACAACGAGCAATTGGTCCCCACAACATAGTATATGTCAGGAAAATCGTCCCCACAAGTATTACAAACAAACGCGCACACCTACACACACAAAGACAGAGAGCAGCCATCCTTGCATCAGCTCTTTAGAATCTCTTCTCATTTGGCATAACATTTCCATTCACTTCAAATAAGAATATTGCAATACTAACATTCAATCTAATGCTTTATGAGACAAATATAAATGGACTCCCATTATTAAATACAATGTGGAAGGTTGTTCTTTGCAGAACTTCTGTTCAGGTCATTCCAGATCTGTGATCCTGACATGAACAAACAAGGATGAGGGAGAAATCCTGGTTCCATCTCTGGACAAAAGGTGAATGTGACGATAACCTAAAGAACACAGAACCAAACCACGAACATTAGGTAGCAGGAGTGGAAACAGCTGTTTGACAGAAACACTTAAGTTGTTTTAAACATCCATCTTTAGGAATAATAACTGCGTCTAATAACCCTTCAGGTGGACCGTACTTTGTCTCCTTTATTATTCTCTGTTTGAAATCCTTTTCATGATCAAATATTGGAAAAAATGGTGGAAAAATAACATTGGAATTTTTTATACAACACATTTGATGGTAACTCATCCTCCTTTTGTTCTTCAATTAAATCAGAAGAATAGAACAAGGTGATTAAAAAAGATCAAAAAGATCTACCTTTTTGCATGCAGCTGAGTGGGAGTGTAAATTGCCCCACAAAGTCGTTTTTGGATGTCTTATCGTAGTCTTCCACCACAAAGCGGACCAGAGCCAGCTCGGGTGTGTGGATGGTGAAGCGCAGAGTATCATTCCACAGGGGATTGAATCCTGGAAAACAAATCAACTGGTATCTTCTGCAACACATATCACTCAGCTTGTGAGGAAAAAATGTCTTATCACACAAACAGGACCTAATAAAAGTATTCACATCTTTTCTGTTAAGACTTTTTGTTGGATTAAAAGCACAAACTTCAATGATTTTTATGTGTCCAACCAACACAAATTGGAAAGAACTTGATACGAGATTTTCAACTATTATTTTACCAATACAATGTGTAATTAGTTCCCTTTACAATGATACCTTGAAGTAAAATCCAACCAATTACCGCCAGTCGTCAACTATAGTAAACAGAGTCCATGTGTGTGATGTATTCTGAGTGTAAATCCTCCTGTTTTTTGAAGGTCTCAGAGATACAAAGCATGGCTTAACCAAAGTCCAGACCTAACTTCAACGGAGAATCTGTGGCAAGAATTGAAAACTGATGTTAACAGATGTTCACTAGACATCAGCCACTTTCATCCCAGTTATAATTATGGACTGCTTTGCGATGTTCTATCACATATTAAAGGTAAAACACAAAGTGTGAAAAAGTCCATAGGCTTTGAAGAACTTTACAGGATTTTGCATTTAGACTGTAATGAAAATTGTTTTTTTTTAACTTATTTTCCAATTAGTTTGAATGCAGGAGAAGCTCCAATCAGAAAAGTTTGCTCAATATATCAATTTTGTTCTTTTGCTTTCTGTTTTTTTTTTTAATGACATGTTCTTATGAAATGTACAGACGTAAAGAAAATACAATGTGGTACTCTTCTAACAAATACATAGTTCTGAATTTCTAGCAGTAGGGTCATGTAAATGGTGCACACTGGAATATGAACAGTGCAGAGCTCAACCTGTCATACCGTTGTTTTCAATGTGTCTGGTTTCCTGTTTGGCCTGGTCCATCAGAACTCCATGGATCTCCACTCTGACTAGAGGATCCACTATACAATCCTCTTTGATGTTGACTTTAGGCAACTGCTGGCCACTTATCACCTTTATGAAAGGGCAGTAAAACACATGCAGTCATTGCAGGATCCTGTCCAGCCTATGAAGCCAACTCCTGAGAACAAAAATCATTGTTTCATTTAGGTGGGTTGTACCTGAATGGTGAGGACGATGGGTTGGTAGTCATCTCGTTTCTGAGGCAGGTCAGGGTCAAACCTGTCGTTTTTGTCTCTCATGAAGGTTGGCTTCAGGACGTAGCCACAGCGGCCATTCTGACTGAACAGACCATCATTTAAATCCATCCCCTCTCCAGCTGTCTGGAAATTCAGTGCAACTGGGTGGAAAAGTGACAAAATGTATGCTGTTACTCATTATAATTCTCAGTCCATTACATAAAACTGATCCAAACCGACCACCAGGTGGAACTGGGCCGTCATGACCAACATTTTCGAGAAATTCTGATTTGTTGCCCCCAAAATCAGTGAGTTTTGTTGTTCTTAGATATATTTACAAGATATCTCCTTGGAATGACAAAGTTCTTTAATTAAAAAAAAATATGTTTCCAAGTACATATTTGAAACATATTTTTGTGGGAAATCCTGATAATTGCCCACAATTATCAGGATGTAGTTTGTATTTAACACTAGACATAAAATTTGTACTACAATGTTAAAAAATGTCTGCTTCATAATTAGAATGATGTATTAGTTGTAACAATAGATTTATTTCAGAAATATTTATTTTAGATGTGAAAACAATACAGTAATACTGTAGGCTGTTTAGTTTTTATTCATTTGAATAAAATATTGTCACACCGATGTTGCCATGTAGTTTACACTGCAATGCATTCTGGGTAAATGATGTATGCTTGGTCTGTTTGCACCAACTCCGTCCAGTCAAAACAGCAATGAGTAATGTCATTAAGCTTTTTCAATTTGAACCAGAGCGTTGAAATCCATGGAAATGTAGGTGATGAAGATGAGAAGACCAAACGGAGGAAGAAGAGTTGGCAGAAGGAGCTGGTGTTTGTGCTGCTGCCGTCACCTTCCGCTTCATAAATGAAACAATGTATGGCACATACCTCTGATCGGACTGTTATCGGATAAGTAGCTCTACGTCCAGTCCGGTAACAGCTGTTTAGGGTCCAGTCTTTAGTCCAGTGTCGGGTCGGTGGTTTTACATTTGGTACCAGTGGCAGTAGCAATAGCTCTGTTAGCATTTAAAAGAGTTCCCAATGCTGCCTGGCTTTCCTGTTTTGCCCAGCAACTTTCTCTTGGTAGCCAGATACTTGAACAAATGATTCAAAATCTTCTGGAGAAAAATGTTGAGGACATAAATGTAAGTCCTTGGGAAGTTGTGTTTGGCTCTGTCCTGCGCTTGTCTTTTTTTAAGTGAGAAAACTCACCTGACTATTCCTTTTTTTTTTTTTTTTTCCAAATTACAGCCAACAGCAACACATTGTGATACTGTCTAAATTTACACTGGTCAAAAGCAACATGATAAACAGCAAGTCTGGAAAAATTAGCCTTTTTGCGTTTGCTCTGTAGATTCCATTACAGAATGGATCCAACTACGTCATCAACCCATCATGCATTGCACAGGTGAAAAAATGGTGACCTTCATGGGTGAAAAACATAACAAAAGATACAAATTTAAAAAAATAATAAATATGAGTTTTTTCACACATCACAAACAGCTATTTTTAGGCCAACGTGTTCAATTAATTGTGGATCTCTTTAAGATCCCTTTAAAGGCCAGTTCTTGTGCATACTTCACAAGACCTTGGTGCAGAACCCTAGGAGTAAAAGCCCTTCAGAAGATATCAGCATACAAAATTGCAACCAGTTCAGCCATAAGAAAATACATAGGAGGCAGAGCACATTGTGTGATTTGTCTGATCAGAACCAGTAAACTTTCGGTTGTAGTCACCTATTTGGCACCCAGCATTCCACATTTCCTGGGGATTGAAATTGGAAGAGTCAGTTCGGAAGCCAGTGGGATATACCCTGGTCAGTTGCCGGGCATTATGGTGCACAAACTCTGCTCCTGGAAAGGAAATGATCCAGTGCAATTCACAACAACACAAAGATATTTTGTGCAGACATTAATGCTAAATATGAAAATGTCTGATATTTATGATGGATGGATGGAACTAACCAGCCTCTCGTAGGAGCTTGCGAGCTTTGGACTCTGTAAAAGAGGCCACTTCATAGAACTTGGAGTGGATACGGGCATGTTTGAAGCTCCTGAAGTGGACACTCTTGCAGTAGACCACACAGTCTGACAGCTCTTTAGACAAACGCTGCTTTGACTTCTATGGACAGAAACAAATGATAGAAATACAACTGTAATAGTAAATCACAGCTTACTTTTACTTTGATAGCAAAGAGAAAAATATATGGCTTTTAATCACTGTGTTGCTCACAAAGGGAGCAAAGCACGGCCCCTTTTGTGAGCAGTGGCCCACTGTCATTGGTCTACATATCACAGTTAAAATGCCAGGTGTTTGAAATTTAACTAAATTATTTACAAACTTTCCACATATGGAAACATTTATGTAAGAGACAAAATTGTCATTTTGTAACATTACTCATTATTGAGTATGATTATTATATAATTTTTGTATATTTAGATATTTTCTTAATAGGAAAAGATCAGCTTTTAGTATGTTTTTATGTGAAAATGCCATCTAGTGGAAATACTGAAAAATGATGTGAGAAGCGTTGCGTGACAGATCAGAAATAAAATGGATGTAAAGTAGTTAGCTTGGTTCCATCCAGTGTTTTGATCTTTAGTGAAGTGCTGTGCAAGACTTAAGAAATGTTTTGATATCTGCTGAAAGAGAAAAGTAAAGTTCACCTTTCATAAGGCTTTTTGTTGTAAATATTTCTTTACTTCATTGACAAATGCACAAGAGCACATGATGGACAGAAACATGTCAGCTAAAAACCAAGCTAATAAATGTAAATAAGAAGAAACTGAAATTCTATAGTTGTTTTAACTGAAACGTACAAGCAGCCATTGCAGCTCATCTTGTACTATTCAACTCAATAAGAAGCAAATCTGGAGGGGAAATGTGAATAACCCATACATGTTCCTGTCATTAAACAAATACTTGGCTGAAACACTTTTTGATTTAGTTTTTATGTTTCAGCCTTCTTTGGCAGGAGTGTGTAAACTTATCTGTTCTTGGCTTGGTAGTATCTGTCCACTACTCCTTCAAAAACAAAACCAGATTGCCAGGCATCTCTAGTCCACAACCTTCTTCAAGTGAGTTCTGCAAATTCTCTGTCAGACTTAGTTCTGGATTCTGAGAAACATTGCCCTATAAAGGTCCAGTTTGTTCAACCTAATGTGAATATTTATGTCACAAAGTCACCCGTCTGATGTCCCAAATTTGAAGTTTTCTCGCTCTCACAGCATGAGGTCTCTCTATTATACCCATGAACTAGCTGTGCATTAACATCACCTGACTGTTATTTCAGTCAACCACATGATATCGTGAACCCTTGTGCTGAAAACAAATCCCATGGTGAGTGGAAGTGATACCCCACTGCAATGTGAAGGAGGCGTGTCGGCATGGTTCCTGTCATGGCTGCTCAGATCAAAGGTTCTGCACAGTGAGACTGTCGGAGCACCTCTGTATGCCGCCTTCCTGGTTGCTTTCACATGAAAGCCAATCTGTGAGGGCATTCCTGCCCTCTGCCGGCACTATCACCTTCACCTGTCTATAAGACAGAGACACAGACACCTAAACCATGAACAGAGGCACAGGGGAGCTTATGTCACTGTCCAAACCCTCACCTCTGATGAATGTGCTAACAAGTCTCAGTAGAAGTTCATGTTTTGTTCTGATGCTTTTTACCAAACAGGACTGTGAGTGCTCAGTGGGTTTGTGTCCACTGAAATAGATGCATTAACCCAAAGTTTAACAAAACAAGTTCAGTGAGTGAGTTTGGGACTCAAAGAGGCACAGTTATTTGCAGTAGAGAACCTAAAGATAAAATAAGAGATTCAAGAACTGAATATTATACTATGCTTTTTTAGCACTGTTATTCCAACTTACAAACTTTTAGAGAAGGTAAGCTGGAGTACAGCTTGTTCTGCTGTACTCCAGCAGAACACTGATGACTCTGTGGGTCATCAGTGTGCAAGTTGATCACATCATGTAACAGCCTGTCTCTGTTCCCTGCTTTTCAAACCGTTTTTATTTTTTTATGAAAGGGTAAAAGGGGTTACCAAGTGGCATAGTGGTTCATGCTGCTTCCTTGCAAGAAAGAATCCCAGCATGAGGTCTGAGCCTCCCTGCCACAGTCTACAAACTTGACTTTTGGGTTAACACTGGTTGCTTTATATTGTCTCTAGTTATGAGTCTGTGTATATGTATGGGTGTCTGTCCTGCCTCTCACACCCCGCAAACTCTACCCCCACTTATTTGTAGCAACAGAGATTATGACTAATCAATAGTCCACTCACCAATGGATGCTGAGTAGGTTGTTGTTGTTGTTTTCCCCCAGGTCCATTGTGGAAATAATATTTATAATTAAATGCAACAATAGAACTTGGTTTAATGTAAAACTTTATGCTTTCAAAGATTCTCCTGGATTTAGCAGTGTCAGTTCTGACAAGTTTTTGTGTTCCTTCAGAAGAACTTTAGCATGATGCTACTGTGTGAAAAATGTGAAAAGTCTGGCATTCATTTTTATTTATATAAATGAATATAAATATAAATATAATATATTATATAATACTATATTATATTAATTATATTATATATAAATGAATGCCAGACTTTTCACACTTTCATTTGTGTAAATTGCTCTGAAAAAGTGTGATTTAGTTATAATCACTTTAACCTTCAATAAAATCCACTGAGGTTTATTATTGTTACAAGAATTTAAATTTGAAGACAAGATGAGGGAAATTCCAATTGCTACAAATGGGTTTACAAGGAACTCCATGGGCTTTAGTCTCCACTTTCATATTCATATGTGAATACAGTCAATGTCCTGCATAAATCCTAAAATTATAGAAAACGTTAAAATAGTCCAGGAAATATAATGGGCCAGACAGCAATCAATTATTTTGACGTCCTTTATCGAAACAGGGTGAATATATTGGGGACTACCTTAATTTATTAAACTTTAATTCATTCATCACATGCCACTTCCTGATTAAAAGCTCAACAGCGGCTTAAAATCTAATAAAACAGATGGTTCTGAGAGTAGATGAGCCAGGATTATCAGATTGTGTAAAAGACAGTTTGGGTCTAAGACACAGAAACTGAACAGGTGAGCAAACCCACCTTCACTCTGCGCCGGATACTCTCACGATGTAGAATATCTTCGTCTATTTCTGCTACTTCATCTTCATCACTGACCTCTCCTGTCAGCGAGTCTTCAACAGTCCCATTGAGTGTTTCCTCTAGACCACCAATTTTTTTTGCTTTCAGAAGAATCTTCCCTTTAAGTTCCTGAAAAAGATACAATACTGAGACATGGACTCTGGTGTTATTTGTAAGCAGTGTCTGCAATAATTAGGCCCGAGCAGCTAAGCGCTGCGAAGGCCTATTGAAATTGTGCTGTAAATTATTAAGCTTCCGTAAAGTAAATTGGCTTTTTGGAGGCTTTATCATATTCAAAAACTCACCAAACTTGGCGGACGCGTCGAGACTATGAAAAATTAACAACAACAAATAGTTGTTTCAGAACAACTATGAAAAACGTATTTTAAGGTCAATGCAAAAATCGCAAACGAAATGGCTCAACGGCGCCACCTAGAAACTTTCAAAAGACCCTTTCCTATTAACTTACTTCATCATAGAGACTTGAAATTTGGTACACTTGTAGAGCTCCCCAAGACGCTCAGAATTTACAATTAATGTCATAGTGCAAGTATGACAGGAAGTCGGCCATTTTGGATTGAAGTTGCGATTTTGACCCCATATTGGCCATTTACAGCCTTCGCATTTGATCGAACTCCTCCTAGGGATTTCGATCGATCAGCTTCAAACTTGGTCAGTTGGTTCATAAGGCATGGCCGATTAAAAGTTATCAAAGGTTTGCGTTTGATAACGCAAACCTTTGACAACCCCCGTGCCTGCTAAAGGGTGGTTTCCTGGGGTCAAAGTTCACCTTTTCGCAATGAAACACGAAACTGTTATAACTTACACAAAAACAGAGGCACCAAACTTTCAGTGATTGATCGTCATCGGGTGCCCTACAATTCCCAATGGTCAAATGATGACATCACTTAGGCCACGCCCCCTGAGAACAGGAAGTGTTATATTTTACTGTGAACGGTCACTATCTGACCCCTTTGACCTAATCAACATCAAACTGTGTCCAGAGACAGAAGACATGTTGGTGTGTTGTGGATTACAACCCTGTTTGTTTTCAATGGAATAGTTGGGCGTGGTGGCGTGGCGAAGTGACCCATAACGCCGTCGCCATATGTTTGGCCGTCAATTCCACAGTTTCAAGCCGAGCTGCACCAAACTCAGTAGGTTGGATCCTTATCGGCCCCCAGACAGGAATCCATAAAAATATTTGGTGGGCGTGGCCTAATGTCACAACAGCACCCTCTAGAATATTTTAAATGCTCAGCCCCAAGCCATGCTTTATCTCAGAATTATGAAACTTGGTACACATATGTATCTGGTCAGGCCCTACAAAAAAGTCTCTTGGAGCCATGGTCCAAACCCCACAGGAAGTCGGCCATTTTGGATAAAAGCTGCAATTTCCTGTTTTTCAGAGACGTCGCATGTGATCGAACTCCTACTACAACTTTTGAGATACAGACTTCAAACTCACTCAGCACACTCTTGAGACATGAAAGGTCAAAAGTTATCACAGGATTTTTTGTATATCAAAGCATGTGGGGGTGGCTAAGTGCAAAACTTTGACTATTCGCCATAAAACATCAAGATGCGATAACTTCCACATAGAAGGTCACAGCTGCATAAGACTTCCTATGTCTGACTACAGACCAGCCCTCATAACATTTAGGTGGTCAATTGATGACATCACCTTAGCCCTGCCCACTTCCGACAGGAAGTCACCTGTTTTTTCTACTGTATGTCTTACATTTACTCTATGATTCATATGGGTTTAATCCTGTGCCAACTGACATAAAATGACATGATGATGAACTCTGTCAATGCTGGCTGAATCATGTAAGTGGCAAAATGCCGAGTTGTAGTCTCTCGCCATCTGCATATGGTTGTCTCTAAATCAAACATGGAGCATCCGATTGGCACCAAACTGGATATGTATGACCTTTATTCACCGCTAAGGGGCCCAACAGCCTTGAATTGTAATGTGACTCCACCGCGCCCCCTAGGTTATTCAATCAGCTATATCTCCTCGCTACATCGGCCCATCTGCACCAGATTTTTGGTGCATCGTCGAGGAGCACTGCAGAACTCATCGATGAGTACGGCCTGGCAGACGGGTGCAGGAGCTGCGCGAGAGCATCCGCGGTGGCTGGCGGGCGGCGGTGCTTGGACCCCTGCAGTGGCCAATAGGCCGGAGCGGCGCTGAGCTGCTAGGGCCGCTCGAGGCTGCTTGCAGCTTTAATTCTTGTTGTATTTAGAGGAAAATGCTATTTGTATAACATTTTACAAATGCTGCTTGCATTTCCTTTTAATTCATGTAAAGCACTTTGAATTGCCCTGTTGCTNATGTATTATAATATAAACAACAGAAGGTATAAAAAAGTATTATGTGTCTTATTTCTATGCTTCGTCTCAGTTATTTCAGCTGCAGATCTTCAGTACCCTTTGCACTGTTTAGAAGGTTTATCCATAGAGCCGACTCTGTCTTGTCTTTAAACATGATGGCTAAAATGGTGCTTATATCTGGCTGAATGTTCAAAAGGGTCTTAAAAATGTAATTACTAAGTGACGTCTGATAACTCCAAATTATATGTACATACAATTAGAATTATATGTGTCAGTTTATATTTGAACTATGTGAACTATGTTAAAACACATTTTTTTCTTCAGAAAATAGAACACCTAAAGTTCATTTTTAGAATCAGATTTTGGACAAAGATTTTTATTAGATTCTGAATTCAGCTTTAGATAATACTCCCCAGTAACACAGCCTTCTTTAAGACTCCTTACATCACCAAAGTTAATAAACCTATTATTTATCCATCCTTTAATGAACAGCAATTATTGCAAGAGTTTATACCCAAAAACTGTAATCAATTTGTAGAAACTATTATATATTGATAACAATATGTAACAGTTGCAAACTGTTTTTTGACATAGACTCTGTAAGGTTTCAATATTATGAGCTGTTTGTTCTTCATAGTTAGAAACAGAAATGCAGGTGACATGCATCATTTTGAAGCCGGATGCAGAACTGCATGGCTACAGGCAGACGGTCACTAAGGAGACCGGTCTTCTCCCACAAGCATACAATAAGGGATGAGTGTTGCCAACACAGCTGTCCACTGGACATGTTGCTCCATATGCCCTTATCAGTGGGGGAGTGGAGGAGCTCCCAGGCCAGCTAATCAATCACAGAGGCCTCCCAGTTTGCAGAGGTCATCCCAGCGCCACAGGGCAGGGTGCAGAGCACAGAGCACCTGGCCAATAAACTCCATTTTGGCTGAGCTCCACTGCATTAGCTTCCCATAAGCTTCTTTTTAAGTAAACCAGGTGTTTTCAAAAAGAAAATTTGATCTTAAAGGCACCGTGACTTTAAATTAAAATGACTTTCCAAACTCAAGGTGTGTTCATGTGTTCACCAAGGTGTTGTCAACCTAAAGACCTTTACGTTCTCCTCCATAGATGATGTACTTGACCCTTGAGCGTTCTCTAGCGCTGCTGTCTCAGGTTTAGTGTTCTCGTTCTTCCTCCACTCTATAAAAGCAGCTTATTTGTTAGGATGTGGTTCCCTCCTAGATGAAGCCACTAAATGAGTTGTTATTACCAATAAGGTTTCTCTAACATAGCAGTGCTTCTGTTCATTTTTAATGAACCAGGTTCTATTTCTGCTGGAGGTTTCTTCCTGTTAAAGGATAGTTTTCCTCTCCACATGCTCAGTATAAAGGACTGCTTCAAAGTCAGTGACATGAAGCCAGTGATTGTCACTACATGGTGGTCCAGGAGGAGTGAATGCTGCAAGTCAATGACTCAATGGAATCTAGATGACATAGTGTGAACTGATGATACACAAATAAACTAAACTGAATTGAATTATACATTAACATTAAATAAATACTCTCAAAAACCTTTTAGTCTAAGCCCAGGTAAGATTAAACATACATACCTATGACTGAGAAAAAAGTTGCCACTTCCTGTTTGTGAATAAATCCTATTGTTGAATGAAATCTTTCTCCAACAATAAGTTGACATTCAGGCTCATCTGTCTGCCACTGCGCTCAGAGTCTCTTCCATCTGGCCTAGCAGGCGTAATAGCTCTACTAATCTCCAAATAATAGGAGCCGGACTGGGAATGTCACTGGGGTACAGTGGCCCCATAGTCCCTCAAAATCAATAGTTTATGCCCCTCAGGGGGATCCATGCTATCCACTTGGATGTCAATACTGTTGATTTGGTATTACAGAACATTTCATCAACATGTGTGACAGCAAAAGCAAGAAAGAATATATGCTCAGGCTCATGAAGGGAGTCCATGGATGTCCAGGCTAGCCTGTGGGTATTTAGGACCCCTGGGGAGCTCATCCCTCAGGACTGTCAGAAGACATTGTGATAAACTGTCTTATCTGACATCACCACAGTATTGGTTTATGCTTTAGTAGGAAACAAGATGAAAGTTCCCTGGGTTTGTTCCATCCTTCACCATTCTTTCTTCCCTTAGGTACAGTTATTTGTGCAGCGTTTTTATTTGTTTCACTCATGCAGAAATGAAACTTGACAATACAATCTGATGTTCAAGGTCTTATCAGATGTTAAACAGATTCAGTCATGTTTTTGTTTTTTTTGGCAAGGGTGGGTGGGTCAGTATGGTTAGGACCACCATGTAGCCCACATTTGACCATGATTTCCAGATCTACAGTTCATTACAACATTTTTCACATTTTATCAAGTGCCAACCACAAACTTGTGGGGGATTTTATGTAATAGGTCAACAAAAGTAGTGCATAATGAAGCACCTGTATGTAATTTAATATCAGTATAAATCTGTGAATCTGTGATAGCCTCAGAGGTTAGTTGGTTATACACCAGAAAGACAGATAAGGCAGCAACTGAAAATTTTAATATTGTAGAAAAACTGCACACTTACAAAGACATGGTTATCCAACTAACCTGGCAGAGCAGCCAAAGGTCTGGGTAGCTCTGGGAGAGCTTCAGAGTGTGGTGAAAAACACACACAGCATGACATCTGTGAAAACAAAATCCATACAGTGAAATATGGTGGTGGTGGTGGCATCATGCTGTGGGGATGTTTCCTTCAGTAAGGACAGGGGAGCAGGTCAGAGTTCACAGATAAATAAACTATCCTAAACATAAGGAGATGCTGAAAAAAAAACCTAGATGTTTGCAACGATCATGACACTGAGACAGCCACCTTAACATACGGCCAACCGTATGCAACCGAACAATTTAGATCATGCAATAAAATCATGCAATAAAATGACCCAAAGTCCAGACCTAAATCCAGTTTAGAGTCTGTGACAAGGCTGGAAAATTGCTTTAGCATGTTGAAATCTGAAAAAATAAAACATAAATAAGTGAAGAAACCTAAAGATGGCCTAATGCAGTGGTTCCCAAACTTTTTCTCCTGGGCCCCCCCAGTGGTTTCCAAACTATTTCTGCCCTCCCACTCCTCTTTAGAGACTCTGTACTCAGCCCCGGCTCCAGACGAACAAGGGGGGGGAATCAACTTTTTGGGGGGTAAAATGAATCGTACCTGAACATAGACAACAACACCAGCAGCCTACAAGCTACTTGTTAATAAGCTTAAGGTGCTGTATTGATATTAGCTAGCTAGTCATCTTTTAGCTAACATTACCAGCATCCAACAGCTTTACTCAACAGTCTGTTTGTTCGAGGGAAAAACTGTGAAAAGTTCTTTGCGTTTTGCTGGTTTGCTGCCGTGATTCTAACACAAACCTACGTAGCTCCGCCCAGCAGCAGCAGGTCTCCTTCACAGGTGGAAACCCAGCGCGAGCGTCGTAGCGCTCATGTTGCGTTTAAAGGCGGCTCGGAAAAACAGGTTACATCATATTAACAACGAATTAAACAGTTTTAACTGCTGATAAAAGTGACAGAGGACACAAATATGAAAAGTTTGGATGCCTCTACTGTATCAAATTGACATAGGAATAACAGAGAGTTGGCCATTCTAAGGTAAAAACCCAGCGCATACAGTGTTCATGTTTTGTTTTGTTTTCAACCAGACGGCTTCCCGCGCCCCCCCTGCAATGACACAGCGCCCC